CCCCAAAACCCCAAAACCCCAAAACCCCAAAACCCCAAATAAATTTCTCAAAATTAGAAATATTTAAACTTCAAAAAAGAAATGAAGAACCTGAAAAGACAGAACAAGATGGAAAACCCAGCCAAGCCACGAGGTGAGCTAAGCTGGTCCTAACTTGTGTAGAGAGCCTATGGAGTGGTTGTGATGGGGTAAGACTGCTAGTTATTGTAGACTGATAGTGCCGTTCAGCTGATCAACAAGATTAATGCGATTCATAAATAAGTATTCTGTTCCTCAAAGGTAAGCCTGTTCGATCATTTATAGTAGCTTTAATGGTGTTCAGAAGGTAGAAAGTGAAGTATGAACCACTCAGAAAGCTCTAAAGTTTTCAAAGAAAGAGCCTAAAGTGCCTAAAATGCACATTTCTCCCTTCCGACATCCAGCTTTAGGTGAGAAGACCGACTTCTTCCGAATGGTTCATGAAAAGACTTCAGTTGATAACCTGAGTATCTTTGGTGGCTAATTTCTAGAGCAAAGGGGTAACTTTAGGAGGCATAAGAAGTCCGGAGCCAAGAAGGCCACTGTGAGTCAACTTGATGATCCTTGTCTAGGCTCAAGCTAATATTCCTCATTTTGAATGTAAGCATTAATCTTTCTGTATATCATTGAAGTGATAGAAATAAAACCTGTGTTTTAAAGTTTCCTCAGTGTATTTTGGCTTTCTTGTTAATATTTTCTTGGCATTTTTGATATAAATTTTTCAAGATGGCCCCAATCAACTCAAAAAATTGTCAACGAATTCAAAGTATTAGCTTAAAACATGTGTTTGGCTGTAATGAATTGGTCCACAATAAGTCTCCAATTATAGAGTTAGGCCTTCTTCAATACTGAAATTTTAAAAGGAAAAATAATCTATACGAGCTCTGGCTCTCTAGGGTACCATCGCACATTTAGTTATAAGCCAAATACGGCCTCTTATCTCGGTTTTGAGATATACCTTGCTATCTTAACTTGGATATAGACAGGGTTGGAGCACGAAATAATTCCAAAACTGGGTACAATTTTTACCCTCAGAAGGAGATTAACACAATTTCCTCAATCGAAATTGGCGACTCTCAGAGGCCGAAGCATATTTATTCAGCCAAGAAAATGCCAGCAGGGAGTCAGCAAAGGGTTCCTGCCTCGAAAGGGTAATTTCACAGCTAAACTGTAGGAAAATTGTTAAGAGCAGACTTCTCAAAGGGGCTAAGAAGAGAGGTCCTAGGAATTCAGCTAATGGTGATTTACCTTTTGTTCAGAAGCAACCTAGCAAGAACCCAAAGGGACGCAGCTATCAGGAGCCCTCTTATTCCATGTTTCATAACACAACTGTGAATAAAGCAAAGCAGGTCGGCAGAAAGCGAACTATTCTGAAGGCAGATGATACTGTAATGTATAAGAATCACCAGCACAAGCTTGGAGCTTCAGGTGAGATTTTAGAGCAAATTCTTGATAGTTTAGGAGCTTGAACGAGGTTTTTAGTAGTGAGATTATTTAGAGCTACTGTTCATTACTGACTTAAGAGAAAGCTTTGGGCTCTATCTTTGTTCTACTAGAGGTTTGGGGATAGGTTGAGTATCTGGGAAGAAAATATGGAGAGTTAAATACAGTTTTCGGGTCTTGATGATGGAAAGAAATATAATTTGAAGCTATTTCTGATTAATGAATTAGATCATGATAAAAGTGGTATAAATAACCCTCAAAGACTGTTTTTGCATTATTCTGCCAGAGTAAAAGCTTGTTGGTACCACTTTACTTCTTTTATCAGCTATTTTACAAGCTCTGTTGTCCAACCTACAACCCATTCTGAACCACCAAAATTTTCCAAACCCCAAAGATTGTGTCAAAACTGATCCTTTTAGGTAACAGAAGTACTAAAATCCCAATATTTTTGCAGAAAAAGAAGCTTAAACAAGAAGTCAAAGAGGAAGAAATCAAGCAGAAATATTTCAAGATGTATGACCAAGCTGGGGTAACTCTTCAGAGCTCGGATAGCCATAGGGATCTGATTAGGTTCAAAAAGAGCCAGAAAATGGAGGTCACGCCTAGAGGTACTTTTATTCACCAATTTTTAGAACAAAAAGTTATCGATGAAGGGGAAGATGATCCAATTTTAGGCCTCAGAGGCACCCTTGACGACCACGTCAACCCGGTTAATGTTATCGCAGATACAGGTGATATGGTGTTGGTGAAACAGAATCATAAGCAATTTAAGGGGTCTCAGTCGGATTTTGACAAATTTGAGCAGGATAACCATAAGAAGTTAGCTATTTCCTCCGCTAAAATTCAACAGATTTACCAGAGACTGAAAGATATCACAACTAGCCTTGGGCTTACTGACGAGGACATTGGCTTAGAAGTCAATGATGTCTCACCTTTGAGCTATAACCGTGACGCCAAACTTGAGGCTCTTAGTAAGATTGAGGAAATTCAGACTAAGTTTCGGAAGACTTACATCAAACTGACCGACCAGGTTGAGAGGATCCATCATTACTCAAAGCAGGTCCTTGCTTCAGCAAGGAATGGGAAATCTCTACAGGCTCAGCAATTGAAAGCCCTGCTGAAAAGAGTACAATGAGTTAACTCCTCTTATAACCGATTGAAGCAGATCGATAATCTCAGGATAAAATATGAAAAATTGGAGAAGAACAAAGCTGATTTTCGGACTGAGGAAGAACTTGTCTTACAAGTCCTTGATAGAGACAAGAAACTGCAGCAATTGCAAAAGCATCAAAAGACTGAGCTTATTGATGAATTCTCTGTAAGGCCTCAGCCTTCCTCGGATCTTGAGCATCAAGCTTGGAGAGCTCATATACCTAAACGGAAGAAATTGAAAAAGCAGTATAGAGGTATGGCAGAAGACAGCGTTTAGATGAATTATAAGATCTCAATGAAGAATCGCCAGAAGGATATAATTGATTTTTCAATCTAAGTTTGGTTTAAAGGGGTTTTGGGGTTTTGGGGTTTTGGGGTTTTGGGG